CCTTTCACGAGAGCTCACCACGTCCATCATCGCGACAACCTACCCAAAGAACCGTCACCACCCGAGCCGCAACAACGTCATATGACGCATCTCGCCGCCAATGTCATCCAACACCCGCACCCAACAAGCAAACCAAGCATCACGCGACACTTTGGGCATGTTTGGGTTGCAGCCTAAGGCTGCCATGCCTAAGCTTAGTCATGCCACAATATCTGAGGCATATGTTTGGTTCATTGTCATACTTGTGGCTTGCCACACTTTTCTAGCTACATGGTCCACATGTTATAGACTCATTTTTGTTGCCAAATCTTATCACACTTGTGGTGGCCATTTTGTTAGCCGCACCTTTTGTGGCACCCACACTTTGCCTAAGCTTAATTGTGGCATGAACCAAACAAAGCCCTTTGCGCGCCGGTATGAACATGCAACACCCTGGATGCCAGATCGGCGCAAGGATGAATGATCAGACAACTCCAAGCCCCACCAAAATATGGCCATGTTTGAAAAAGAAGAAGACAAGTTCATATACACCAAGGTCCCAAAAATTTTCCCTCAAAAAAAAAAAAAGGTCCCAAAAATTGGCTTTACGTGACATGGAAATCACCAGCACTTCATATCCACACATACGTAGTCGTAGAGCACAGCATTTCCTATGTTATCAACGACCCTGTGCAAAAGGAGCACCGGATGCCATGCCTAATTAAAGATCGAGCCACAGCCCTACCTTTTGCCTCTGGTTCCCTCGACTCCTCGAGCCATTCCTCCCCATTTCATTAGCACCCAATCAAAGTATTTATTTTTCTAAACCACCGTCACCATCGCCATCACTGCTCATTCCTAGTGCTGCCCACTGTACGGTACGGCTGGCAGCGCAAGATAAGTTCAAATAAACCACGCTGCTTTGCTGCGCCTCTTGTCCTCTTGCTCATTCCTCCCTCACTCACTCCCTGCCCCAGCTGCTGCTCTCGCCTCTCGCACAGTCACGGCACAGCGCACGCTCCCCGGCCTATCCGCCCGCCGCTTGCCGCCGACCGCCTCCAGTCCCCCAATCCCCTTTCTCCGCGGTGGATTTGTTGCAGCAGCGGCCAGCGGTAGATCTCTCCACATCGGCCCCGTCCCTGTCCTCTTTCTCCCCCCTCCCGTGCCCAGCCACTCCCGCCCCATCTTTCTTCCTCCCAGCGAAATCCTTAGCGGCCAAGGCTTCCGTTCCGAGCTCCAGCAGCAGTTTTAAACGCGCCCGCAGAAAGCGGGGGACGAGTCGCACTGCTCGCTGGTCGCACTGCTTGGTCGTGGCTCTCGGCTCCATAAAGCGGCAAAAGGCTCCAGGGGCCGGCCGGCCGTAGGTTCGGCGAGAATCTGCAGGTATCCGATGCATCCTCGCTTCCTTTCTCGTCCTCGGCGCTTTTACTTTTGGCCTCCGCGCTCTGTTTCTTGGGAAAATAGATTTCTTTCGGGGGACAGGGGCGCGGGCGGGTTTCTTGCGGGATTTCGGCCCGTTTTTCCGTTACGAAACAAGAATAAAATCGCTCATCGGCATTGCGTGACTTCCTTGTGCGTTTTTGTTGCTTCCTTTTATCTCCCAGTCTAGAAAGAAAACTCATGCATATCCATCGTTCATCTGGCCGTCCGCTTACAGATTGAAGGCCGCATCTGTGGTGGAAATTTTGTTTTCAGGTCAGGTGATGCCCGCGGCTGAGGATTGATTTGTCCATGGATGCGCGTGCGGCGATGAGCAAGCCCCTACGCTCGGTGCGCGTGGCGCCGCCGCCCCTGGCTGCTCGCGCCGCCGTTCTGCTGCTGCTGCTGCTGCTCTCGGCGCTGCCGCTCTCGCTGACCTACACTTACGAGCAAGACGGTATAAAATACTACTCCAGAATCCTTCTTGGTCCAGTAGTTGGTCATCCAGGGGTTCCAGATTATTATTTTTTGTTCTCCTGACCGTGCTGTCTTGTACTGCGTAGATTATATTTATGATGATGCGTGGGATAATGCAAATATTATTACTGTATTATTCTTATGATCTTATGTAGTACTAGTACCTTATGCTGTGTTCTTTTATTTATTTGTTTTTAATAGTGTTCGCGATAAATGGCCTGTACACGGCGCTTGGATCCCCGTCTTTGCCTGGTTGGGTTACCAATGGCGGCGACCCCTGCGTCGAAAACTGGCAGGGCGTTGGATGTGCGGCATCGAATATCACCGCCATGTATGTGATTAGTGGTGCCGTGTTGTTGCTTGATTTTCTCTGTGGCTGAGCTCTTTATTTGGTTATCTGAACGATGTTTTTTTCTTTTTCTTGGGTAGAACTCTCAATGGTATAAGTTTGGGTGGACAGCTGGGTAATACACTGGCGAATTTCACATCGATAATCACCTTGTAAGTTGATCGCGTGTGGAGTTTGGGTTGCGCTTTATTTGGTCCTAAATTGACACTATGCTACTGAGTCGTTGTATAACACTTCTTGGTTTATGCAGAGAACTTAGCAACAACAATATTGGTGGAACCATACCTGATAATCTACCGGTCACAATTCAGCGCTTGTATGTCCATTCGAGCATTCTGTTGCTCTTCTGCTCCACTTGCGTAGCTGTTTCTTTACTAATCCTTCTCCTGTCAATCATAGTTTCCTCTCAGGAAACCAGCTAAGTGGGAGCCTTCCAAGTACATTGTCGACGCTTACACTTTTGACAGACATGTAAGTATACTATTACCAATGCATGACCACCAGCTCTCAGAAAGTTAAAACTTCCCGGTTAATTTCTCAAACTGTCCCTCTTTGTCTTCTTTTGCTTTGTAGGTCCCTCAGCAGCAATCGTTTGTCTGGGGACATACCAGATGTATTTTCAGCACTCACTGGACTTATAAATTTGTAAGAGCGCGTTGACTTCTCTAATGGTTCACATGCTAGCATTAGTTGTTGTTCGATGTTTCATAACAATGACAATCATCAATCAACCTTCTTTATCAGAGATTTTTCTTCCAACAACTTGACTGGCCCATTACCGCCTTCGATGGGAAACTTAAAAGCATTGACTACCCTGTGAGTATCTATGCCTAGTTCATTGATAAAAAGCGCTAGTATCAAACTACTTAAGAAAATCTGCTATCGGCGCAGGCATATTCAAGACAATCAAATATCTGGGACCCTGAATGTCCTGCAAGATCTCCCTCTCAAAGATTTGTATGACAACTCATTTTTTTATTTTGGAACGTTCCAAAAGAATGAAATAATTGCTATTTCATTCTTTTGTAGATTACTCCCTCTCTCTGATAACTCTTTTGCATTCGACAGGAATATACAGAATAATCTTTTCTCTGGTCCTGTGCCTCCGAAGTTATTCAATGTCCCAAACTTTCAGTAAGACACTCCTCCTTTATCGAGATATTTTTCTTGATTATTTGTGTTTGTATGCCTCTAGTTGGAACATTAGAGACATGTTTAAAGACAAGCCTTTCTATCCTTTTCTCTTCTTCTAGGATGTCCTTCTATCCTTTATTCGTACTAACAATTTAACAACTTCATGAGTAACTTGTGTTTATGCTGACAAAATTTGCTCTCCTACGCAGGAGGGATGGCAACCCATTTAATACTAGCATAGCTCCATCTCCACTGCCAGCTGCACCAGCACCATCTCCATCACTATCACCTTCAATAGGACATGTCCCCTCAAAAGAACCTACAAAGTCGCCTGATGTGCCAAATGGAAATTCTCCAGCATCAGGAAACCATACTATTTGGACAGTCAAATTTGTTGGATACATTCTTGTTGGGGTGGTATCAGCAGTGGTTATTGTGTTAATGGTAATGTTTTGTGTATCCAAGCACAAAGATAGGAAGTCAAAGAAGGAAATTAGGAAGTCAAAGAAAGATGTGTATCCAAAAAACAAGATAGGAAGGGAGCCTCAGAGGCTTGGAGAGGCTAAAATCAAGGAAGTCCCGGAAATGAAGGAACATTTGGTAAAACCTATGAATACTGTAGAGAAAGGTCCTAATTCTGCTCTCTTATC